GGATGGATGGATGGATGGATGCATGTGTGTATGTATGTATGTATGTATGTATGTATGTATGTATGTATGTATGTATGCACTAATGTAATGTACTGTAGTTAATATAATGTAATATAATGTAGTGTAAGTATGTATGTATGCATGTATGTATCTGTATGTGTATATATATATATATACACACACTCACTCACTCACTCACTCACTCACTCACTCACTCACTCACTCACTCACCCACTCGCGCACAGACGCACACGCAAGCGCACACACACACAGACAAACAAAGACACACACACACACACGCGCGCGCACGCGCGCGTACACACACGCACAAGCATGCATACATCCAGACACACATATACAGTTACGTGCATCGAACCCTAAACCCTAAACCCTAAACCCTACATGCATACCTTCGGACGTCGGGTTCTTTTAACACCCCGAGTGCTTGACCCAGAGAAGACTGCGCGTGAACTTCCCGGGAGCCACCGTGTTGAAAATGAGGTTTAGGGTTTAGGGTTTAGGGTTTAGGGTGTAGGGTTTAGGGTTTAGGGTTTAGGGTTTAGGGCTTCCAGGAGTTATCGGCTTCAGATCTGTAAAAGGGCTGCAAGAGAAGCCGCCGTCTTAGCACTCTAGGGGCTTAGGAACTGCAGGGGCAGGAGAGATCAAGGCGGAATGCCGCCCTAAACCCTAACCTTAAACCCTAAACCTTAAACCCTAAATCCTAAAACCCTTTCCCGGCGAAGCCAAAAGCTAGGCCCGTAGCCCTGTGCCTTTCACCCAGAATCCTGAACCAGCTGGACCTAAACGCAGGCACGGAATCACCCCTAAGGGGTTTTTACAGGTTTCTATAAGGGCTATTTGTACTAGAAAAATCAACAACTATCCATGCCTTCATCATTTGGCTAGGGTTTGGGGGTGTAAAATTCTTAGTGATGAAATATGATGAATATGGGAGCCCACTTGGGAGTGGGTTCCTGCCCAAGACGTAGGGTTTTAGGTTTTGTAAAACGATCGGAGGATAATCAAACCCTAAACCCTAAACCGTGGTCGAAAGCCTGAATTCTGTAACTAGGCTTCTTCATCAGGTGACTTGGCAGTCGTCACCGCTGCACCTTCAAGTGGTCCTGTCCTTGAACTGCCATGTCCTCAGCACTCTGAACCAGGGTTTCCGCTTTAGGCTCCCGAAACCGCCGCTCTTTTTATGGAAGTCTGCTTTAGCCGTCACACTTTTTACATATATGTACACTACGTATCTGTATATGTATGATATGCTTTATGTATGTATATGTATATGCGCTATATATGCACAGATGCATGCATGTGTATACATTTGCATACATCATATACACACCTGTCTCTCTCTATGTGTCTGTCCGTCTGCCTGTCTGTCCTATCGTCCTACCTATCTAACCTTCTACCTACCTACCTGCCTACCTACCTACCTACCTGCCTACCTACCTACCTACCTACCTACCTACCTACCTACCTACCTACCTACCTACCTACCTACCTACCTACCTACCTACCCATCTTTTCATCCTTCCATCCATCTCGGTGTCTACCCATCTACCTCTCAATTCCTAAACCCTTAAGCCTTAAGCTTTCAACCCTAAACCCTTATGCGTTCCACCCTAAACCTTCAACCTTTCACCCTTAAGCCCTAAACCCTTTGAACCTTCAACCCTAAACCCTAAACCCTAAACCCTTAAGCCTTCAACCCTAAACCCTAAACCCTTAAGCCTTCAACCCTTAAACCCAAAACCCTTAAGCCTTCAACCCTAAACCTTCAACTTTTTACCCTTAAACCCTGAACCCTTAAGCCTCAAGCCTAAACCCTAAACCCTAAACCTTCAACTTTTTACCCTTAAACCCTGAACCCTTAAGCCTTCAAGCCTAAACCCTAAACCCTAAACCTTCAACCTTTTACCCTTAAGCCCTGAACCCTTAAGCCTTCAAGCCTAAACCCTAAACCTTCAACCTTTTACCCTTAAGCCCTGAGCCCTTAAGCCTTCAAACCTAAGCCCTAAACCTTAAACCTTTCACCCTTAAACCCTGAACCCTAGACCCCTGAACTCTTCACCCTGGCAGGCTCGAGCCGGTGACGCTGAGTATTCAGCTCCCAGCCTCTCGGCAGCCTTTAGGGCGTCCTGTAAGGGTTTAGGGTTTAGGGTTTAGGGTTTAGGGTTTAGGGTTCAGGGTTCAGGGTTCAGGGTTTAGGGTCTAGGGTTTGGGGTTTAGGGTTTAGGGTTTAGGGTTAGCCTTTAGGGCGTCCTTGAAGGGTTCCCTCTCGGGGTCCTTGAAGGGTTCCTTTAAAGGCGTCCTTTAAGGGCGCCGTTTTGAGGGTTCCTTTAAAGGCGTCCT